GCCTGCCTGGGGGTGCGAACGGGGAAAGGAGAGCACTGGCTCCCAGAAGGCACCCTCTGACTTCTACAAGGCAAACAGGTGGCATGTGCTCACATGCATGCATGCACACACGTGTATACACGTACACACAATGAATAAATAAATAAGATGGCCCTGATCTGATAACAGTTACATGGTACAAAATTAAATTTTAATTCTGAAGTGACATGTCAAATTGGCAAAATGTACTTTACCTTTTATCTCCTGAAGGGTAGCCACTAATAACTGTTTATTGGTTACCTTTTGTATAGGTTTTTATGCATTCATACAAATCACCTATTTTTGAAGTTTGGATAAATGGTCATACTTGACCTTCTGTAAAAGTCCTACTGTAACCAGGGTTTCTGGACAAAAGCCGGGCTCTGGCAGCCCTGACTGACCAGGCATGACCAGCTTCTGAATAAACCTATTAAAAGGACAAGTGTTGACAAAAAGCAGAGAACGCAGATTAATTCACGTGGCCACATTAGGAAGAGGATAGAGCTCAGTGACCAGGGCTGGAGAGATGGGTCAGTGGTTAAAAGCATTTGCTGCTCTAGCAGAGGACCTGAGCTCCATTCCCAGTACCCACACAGCGGCTCACAACTGTCTGTCACTCTAGTTTCAGGGACATTAAAGACACTGATGAGAGCCCTGGACTTTGAACTCAAGAAAGAAGAAGCTGAGCAAATAATAAGTAAAACTGATAAAGGACAGGAAAAGTGAACTTTGACGACTTTTTTAGACGGCTCAGAAAATGTCTGAGAGACACAAAGAAACCTTGAAAGTTTTCCCGCTCTAGCGAGGACGACACTGGGAAGACTCCATTCATAAGGCTGAGGTGCATGCTGGGTTCAGCAAGAATGTGACTGTCGAGGGGGAGGCTGATGCGGATGGCGAGGCGAGGGAGCAAGGCTTCCTGGGCATCATGACTAAAACCAGCTCGATCCGTGTTTCCACAGGACTGTCAGCATGCATAGCTAGATTTAGTGTCTGTGAAACCTGGCTTCTGAGAACACCAATCCACTTCAGCTACAACTACGGATCTCTTTTAGACTTTTTGGAAGTTTTTCTTGATATTACCATTCTTTGTAAAGTCACCTACTAATTCTAGAAAGCTGAGCAAGAGGGCATTAGGATGGGCATAAAAGGCCTTTTTAATTTTTTTTTTTTTTTTTAAAGACAGGATTTCTCGTGTAGCCCTGGCTTTCCTGGAACTCACTCTGTAGACCAGGCTGGCCCTGAACTCACAGAGATCCACCTGCTTCTGCCTCCTGAGTGCTGGGATTAAAGGTGTGCGCTGTCACCACCTAGTCAGAAGAGGTCTTAAAATCTACCTGTCTTATATTGCTTTAAATCATGCTTGTCGTGCATTTCCGCATATGTGCAATTTTAAAAAGCGATTTTTTTTATTTGTGTTGGGGAGGAGCAGGGGAGGAGAGGAGAAAGAGAGATGCATGTGCACAGGTCATGTATGTGGAGGTCAAAGAACAACTTGCAAGACCTGGTTCTGTCTCTACCATCTTGGACCCAGAAATCAAGCTCAGGTTGTCAGGTCTAGTGGCGAGTACCTTAACCTGCTGAGCTATATTGGATGTTCTTCAATAGTTTCAGCATTTAGCTGATAGCTGACCAGTTTTTTAAGTTGATACTATAATTATTATTTGGGTGTGTGTTTGTGAATGTGTTTCAGTTTACTCAGAGATCAGAGTTCAACACTGGGTATGGTTCTTTTCTAAGACAGGATCTCTCACTAGGGCCTGGGGCTTGCCAATTAGGTTAGGCTGGCTGGTTAGGAGCCCCAGGGATCCTCCTGTCTTGATCTTCCAAACACTAGAATTACAAGTGTGCATCACCATTAGCAATGTTTTAATGTGGTTTCTGGAGCTCAAACTAGGGTCCATATGCTGGCCGAATAAGTACTTTACCAACTATGCCATCTCTTCAGTGCAATAGTTCTCTTATAAAACCCACCGAGGGCCAAGGGAAATGGCCCAATTGGTAAATCATTTGCTATGCACCCATGAGAACCTCATCTTGGATCCCCAGTACCCATGTAAAAAGCTCGGTGTGGCAGCCCACATTTGTAACTCCAGTGGTGGTGGAGATGGGAAGAGACAGGTGGGTCACTGAAGCTCACTGGCTGGTTAGTCTAGCTAAACAGATAAGCTCCAGGGTGAAAGACCTTTTCTTGAAATCTAATAAAATGGAAATCAACTGAGAAAGACATTCAACATTGATGTCTGCTGTCCACATTCATGTGTGTGTGTGTATACATATATATGTGCATGTGTTCTCACACATACACATGCACACGATAAGACACATACATATACCATTCAAAAACAATGTGGAAATCAACTGAGAAAGACATTCAACATTGACCTCTGCTGTCCACATCCATGCATATATATGTGCCTTTGTTCCCATAAGACATGTACATATACCATTCAAAAATATTTTTAAATGAGCATACACAATGAAATCTGGCTATATTGTTAAGCTAACGGTTTTGTCTTAAAACAAAGTCTTTCTTGGTTATCAAAAACAAAAGAGGGGGGAGGAAAATTAAAGCCCAGATTCACTTATAAACTGTGCCCCAACCTAACAAAATACCAGACAAAATTAAAAATTCAACAGTGCTTTGGATAGCCCACTCAGGTTTGTTCCAGAAATGTAAGAGCGATATCTTAAAAACAGGGCTGGAAATGTAGCCCAGTGGTAGAACATTGGCCTCATGTGTGGGAAGCCCTGGATTTAACCCTAGCATCACAAAGGCTATCCTCAACTAATATGAATTAATGAAAAAAAGAAAACCATACAATCATCTCAAAATAGAAAAATCTGAAACAATTTGGTATCTGTTCATCACCAAAATGAAGCATTCTTTGGAAGCAGAGATAAAAAAGAAGCTGATTAACCTGATTAAATCTGTAAACCCTGCACCACTGTTACTATGTGACAGTTGCAAGCCTTTGAGACTTCTATAATGTAAGAAGGCCTATTGGCCGGCCTGGCAGTGGTAGCACACACCTTTAATCCCAACACTCAGAAAGCAGAGGCAGGAGGATCTCTTGTTAGTGTCAGCCAGCCTGGTCTACAGCATAAATTCCAGGACAGCCAGAGTTACACAGAGAATAGATGGTTGGTAGGTAGGTAGGTAGGTGGGGTGGGGGGAGAGAGAGGCAGACAGATAGATGATTGATAGATAGATGATAGATAGATGGATGGATGGATGGATAGACAGATAGACAGACAAATGATAGATTGGATGGATAGATAAGATGGACGGATAGATAGATAGGTAGATAAACATATAGATAGATAAATAAATGCCCATTACACCCTTTCTATTCAGTATGGAGGTTTCTAGCCATCATAGTAAGACCTCTTATACCCCAAAAAGCATAAGTTTCTGAAAGTCTAAAAAGTGGAAAGAAATAAAGCCATCATTATTTGCAGATTATAAAATTATTTAAAGAAAATTCTAAAAAACTGAATACAAATTATCAGAAGCAATGAGCAAGTTAAGAAAGTTAAGTACACAGTACATTAAAATACAAAACCCATCAATATTTCCATACACTATAAGTAACTGCTAGGAAGCATAATTCAAAAAAGAGCCCACTAGCATGACAAGACATTACACAAATTCGCGGGAATTATACATTTTTATAAGGTACTAAATATGTCTTGAGAATTTTATAGGAAAAAAGACAACAAAATGTGTAGAGTCCTCAGGCATCAGTCTAGTCAGGTGAGACATGCAGGAAACTAAGGTTAGCAGGCTAGCCTGGGCTAAGAGAGGGCCTAAGGTCAGGTTGGACTTCATAGTGAGATGTGTCATCGTCTCCCCCACCCTCGCCCCGCGCGCAAAAAAAAAGACCACAAAAACCACTTCAGAAACTAATCTAACATATATAACACCTTTCCTAGGTCAAAACCATAAAACGACTTAAGGCATAAAAAGGCATTTAAGCGAATGTAAAGAGACTATGTTTGTAGAATAGAAAATTTAGTATTATAAAAATGTCAGTTTTCTACAATTTTATCTTTGGGTTCAAAAAAATCAGTAAAAACCCGAACAAAATTTCATGAAGAATCCAATAAGCTGATGCCAAAATTTGTAAGAAAACAAGAAAGGACAAGAATAGAGACGATAGTCCTAAAAAATATTACTGTCTCTATGGTAACTGAGATAGGGTGATTTTGGCAAGGGAATAGCCAATTTGGCCAAAGAACACAGAATAAAGATCCCAGAAATCAGCCTGTGTATGTTTAGAAGCAACTTTTTTCTTACTTATGCAGTATCAGAGGTTGAACCCAGAGCCTGGCATGCTATGTACACACCAAACTACATCTCCCCAGCTCTGGAAATTTTAATTTTGACAACAGTAACACTAACAACAGTTTACAAGGAAACAAATTATTAGGCAAAAAATGACTTTGGAAGCAAGTTATTGTTCAAATGCAGACTGGTGCGTGTGCAGGCATGCATGTGTGAGTGCGTGCGCGCGTGCACATGTGTGTATTTGTGCGTGTGTGTGCATGTGTGTGACTGATTCAACATCACACTTCATATGAACTGAAGACATGTGTAGAAGAAATGGCTTCACAACTTAACGTACACTGAAGAATAGTCATGAGCTGTTGCACTGGTCAGCCTTTCGTCGTTCTGTGCCTTTAAGTTTGAGAAGATAAAACCCAGGAGATTTTCCTTCCCTACCATGTGAATATCTAAGTTAAGTCCCTGGGGGTTTCATTGCCATACAGAATAAAGAGTGGCTACCCTGAAGGAAGGATGGACACACAGACGTGCTTTGGTGTACTCGTGTGTCTGGGGGCTGCTGCACTGTTCTGTTTTGTGGAATGCAGAGCAGTACACACAGATATTTATGATGCTTTAAAGAAACCAGCCCTTGACGTTAGAGTTCCCATCAGAAAGCCCCGTTTCGGCACAGCCCATGCAGGTGTATACTTACACTATGTGTGCAAGGTCAAGTGGTTTCTCTGGTTGCTCAGGAAAAACAGGATGTGGGGGTTCTCTGGAGGGTACACAGCCCAAAGATTTACTAATTGCATGGCTCAGCTTCTTTGCAGGGGATTTCTGTGTCAAAGGAGAAAATAAGGAAATGAGACCTTTTCGAGTACAAATCAGATTTCACTCTAATCAGGGTGACTGGGCCTTGCAGAAAGCAGCCAGCAGAACTCTGACGTCTCTTGCGGCTTCTTCATTCCTGTGGTTCCTCCCTTCCTTCTACCATAAAGTGACATTATCAAGTTATGGAGCTAAAGAGACACGTTAAATTTCTTCTGGATATCTCTATATATTGGGAATTCCCCCCCCCTTTTTTGAGGTTTCTGGGTCATTTCTGGTAAGATATGAGGGTAATTCCCTACTGGGGGAATTTTTTTGATGGGTACAATACAAAAAGGCTAAGACAATGCAAAGAACACATGGCTTGTGCATGTTAGCAAGTCAGCTGCCTAAGCTATGTTCATAAATGCTAGAATACTCCCAAACAAAAGCAAGGCAAGCCGGGTATTGTGGCACAAGCATGTAATCACAGCATTCAGGAGGTACAGGCAGTAGGATCAGGAGTTCAAGGTCATCTACAGCTACTCAGTTAATCTGAGCCAGCCTGGGCTACACAAATCTCTGCCTTGAAACAACAAAAAAACTGAGGCAGAGCATTTGGCATTAAGGGTCTGTCTGTGAGCCGGGCAGTGGTGGCACATGACTTCAACCCCAGCACTCGGGAGGCAGAGGCAGGCGGATCTCTGTGTGTCTTAGGCCAACCTGGTCTACAGAGCAAGTTCCAGGACAGGCTCCAAAACTACACAAAAAAACCCTGTCTCGGAAAACCAAAAAAAAAAAAAAAAAAAAAAAAAAAGATCTGTCTGTGCCAACAGATTAAACAAGTATAAGTCTATACACAAGCAGTGAGCATTAGACCTGCGACTGTAAATGATGCTGTATTAGGAGGTACAAAAAAGTTAAGATTCCAGTAATTTCTCTGGAAAGCAGAAACATCAAGATTGTTCATTAAAATAGTAAATGCACACAAAGTGAATAAAATCTTACAGTTATATTGAACAGAATATTGTATTCTACAGCCCCTACTTAGCCTGCCTCATGCTTTTTTTTTAAACTGGCAAGTAAACCCAGGGCCTCCCTGCTGAGCCATTTACACCCACAGCCCCCGAAAACCCCACAGAGGCTCTCTACACGCTGTGTGCTGTCCATCCTGTTCCCTTTAAATAACACGGCTGTCTGAGATTTGGGCAGGATATTAATGAAATATAAGTTTGAATATTTAAGTCTGCTGTCTATACAATTTATTATCAAATATGGCACTTGGAACAGAGAGGATAGCTTGTATGCAGCTATGTGCCGCATCAATACTGCATTCCCACTTATTATTTATTAAGTAGTACCCACTGTGGAGCACAGCCTGGCCTTCAACTTGCAATCTTGCTGCCTCAGCCTCAAATGTTAGGCTTACAGGCATTTACCACTATTAAACTTTTATATTCTGCTTGCTGTATTTTAACACCACATAAACTCAAATCTGTCTTCCCTTAAGAACGTATAGGCAAAGTCAATATTTGATTATACTAAAGATAACACCAGTATCTTCAGAAGCTGTATTTTTTTTTTTTTTTGATATCTTAGCAACCAAGGACCCTTCAACCCATTTTGTTCGGGGAAAAGTCTGTATCTAATCTATTTTCCATCCGATTACACAGGGCAAACCATAGCAGTAATTCTGAACTTGCCCCCCAGCTGCTCTCTACTTTCTTCCCTTTACCCGGCAAGTGGCCACGATGTGCTGCAGGTCCTCCCCTCTGACGCGCCTCTGGTCCTAGAGAGCACGGCCTTCTCCTAAGGGCTCACACAGGCTGATAACTCACACACAGTATGAGCTAAAGGAGCACTGTTGTGTTCCGCATGGCAAACACATCACCAGCTTGCATCTCTCCCATCTCCTACCTCCAAGAGCATGGCAGATGCCTATCCTATCCCTTAGGTCTAGAGACCTGGGCACACACTCGTCCCAGGCCTACCCTTTCCCTCCAGTCTTACATACATCTCCTGCCTGCTTCCCAAGCCTCTGGAGTGTCTTTCCCACTGCTCCATTGGTCAATGATGCCTCTCCATGACCTTGTGCATAAGTCCACCCTCACAAAGACCATGTTAGATTACAGTTTCGATTCCTTTTCTGTCTTTGTTAGGCTCTTGCTTCTGAAGACCAGCTACATCTTATTCATTTCTCACAGAGCCTATTCTCAGAACAGAACATGTGACTTGAGCACAATTTTCTGCCTTTATTTTCAGCTTTTTTTTTTTTTTGAGAATTACAAGTAGGAGCAACGAACAGAAACAAAATCAAACAGAGGTTTAATTCACCTTTACAACTAAATTTAATTTCATGATTTGTTGCTATACCAAAGAAACACCTGGCACCTGGGCCACTAATTCATGCCCTATGTATGGGACAGAATTTCTTTAGCTACATCCTGAACACTACCAGCCATGAAATCAAAGGCTTAGGAAACAACATTAGAACAACTACCTGACTATTGAAATAAGTTTCTGCATTTGTAATTCTTAATAATCTTGTCAGTATTCTGTGGTGTTCTTAAAAATATTGCTTTAGGAATCAAAACAATGCTGAGATTCCATCCAACACCTGTAAGAATGGCCAATATCAAAAACACTGATGACAACTTATGCTGGAGAGGTTGTGGGGTAAAGGGAACACTCCTGCATTGCTGGTGGGAATGCAAGCTGGTACAGCCCCTTTGGATGTCAGTGTGGCAATTTCTCAGAAAATTAAGAAACAACCTTCCTCAAGACCCAGTAATACCACTTTTGGGTATATATCCAAAGGATGCTCAATCATTCCAGAAGGACATGTGCTCAACTACGTTCATAGCAGCTTTGTTTGTCATAGCCAGAACCTGGAAACAGCCTAAATGCCCCTCGACCAAAGAATGGACAAGAAAAATGTGGTACACAATGGAGTATTACACAGCAGAAAAAAATAATGACATCATGAATTTTGCAGGCAAATGGATAGAGCTAGAAAACATCATTTTGAGTGAAGTAACCCAGACACAGAAAGACAATTATCACATGTGCTCACTCATAAGTGGTTTTTAAATGTAAAGCAAAGAAAACCAGTCTACAATTCACAATCCCAGAGAACCTAGACAACAAAGAGGACCCTAAGAGAGGCATTCAAGGATCTAATCTACATGGGAAGTAGAAAAAGACAAGATCGCCTGAGTAAATTGGGAGCATGGGGACCATGGGAGAGAGTTGAAGGGGGGAGGGAAGCGGGAGGGGGGCAGAGAAAAATGTAGAGCTCAATAAAAATCAATAAAAACCGAAAATATTGCTTTAGGTCACGGCTTAAAGAGTATATTCAGCTTTTGGCAGCCAGAGAAAGGCACTTGTCACCAAGCCCAATGACCAGTGTGGGATCCTAGGAACCACATGGTGGAAGGAGAGAACTGACTCAACAGTTGTTATCTGACTTATGCACACCCCTCAACGCAAATAAATAAATGCAGATAATAAAGACAGCATCCAGTTTTGTGTGTGTGTGTTCCAACGAGTCTTTATTTATAGACACTCAAATCTGAATTCACAGGACTTTCATGAAATGAGATTTTTTTTCAAAGCACTTAGAAACACAGAACCCATTCTTAGCTCACAGGCCATACAAAACAGATGGTGGGGCTGGATCTCTAGTACACAGTCATTTCCTAACCTCTGCTCTAAGTATTTTTTGACATTTATTTGACAGCATCCAATTTCAAGCCTCAAAAACAGAGGTAGGGCTAGAGCTGTAGTTTAGTCAGCAGAATCCTCACTTACCATGCACAAAGCGCTGACTGGATCCCCAGCACCACATAAACCAGATATGGTGAGATTCCTGTAACTCCAGCACTCAGAAGGTCCAGCACTGAGCAGGAGGATCAGAAATTCAAGGTCATTCCTGGCTACATACTAAGTCCAAGAGGATATAAAATGTATGCTATACTTGTAAAAGCCATAAAACTATAAAAGTTATCACTATCCATCTACACAGGTTTCTGCCTGAAAAAACAAAAACAGCAACAACAACAACAAAAAAAACAGGTGTCACCCTGAATATTTCTTGCCGGTTCTCCCTTGACCCCTCCTACCAGATCATCTTTCGTCCTGGTAGGCACTGACTTGGACTTTGTATTAATGGTCTCCTTAGCTTTATTATTTTCACAGTTGTGTATAATGATACATTGTGAAGAAATATTTAAAACCTACAGAGGCTAAATGTATGTGCAAGTGTTCAGCAACTTGCTTCTTTTACTCAAAACTGTTATAATTTATCTATAAGTCACACATTTTCATGCTTAGTTTCCTATAGTTTAGATAGTCACTCCACTGCAGATGAACAATGACTCACGCCTTGTTTCCACTGGGTACTATTATTCACAATGTTACTAAGTTTTCTGTTTCATGATGCTTGATGGTCACATGTAAGGATTTCTAAGATTGTGACTATTGGCTTGCAGGGCTATGTACAATTCAATGTTGGCGACCAATGCCAACTCATTTGCTCTACAGAGCGGTTACACTAGTTCCTGCCAGCTGTGTGGGTGGGTTCCTGAAACTCCACACTGCCCCCAGCCTCTGTCACTACTAGACACTTCACCATTTGCTAGACCTGTGGCAGTAAACAGGTACTGTGGTTTCAATTTGTAATTTCCTCAGGATCAAGGGGATTGGCTATCTTTCCCTATATCTGTAGGCTGTTCATGCTTCTCTGGAATATCTGCTCCTACTCTTTCAAATATTGATAAGGAGTCTGTTGAGCAGGCTGGAGATTAGTAGGGATTACACTTCTCTTATTTGTTTTCTTTTCCGAGACAGGATCACATGTAGCCTATGCTATTCTCAAGCCCCGTATGTAGCAGAGGATGGCTTTGAACATGTGATCCTACTGCCGTGGTTGCCATTCTAGATGCCACCAGGCCTGGTTCTCTCACTTGTTTGCAGCAATTCTCCATATTTTTGTATTTTAAACTTAAGAAAGCTATATTGTATAATTTCTC